ATGGGCCAATAAGTATGACAACATTAAAATTTGAAAGAAGACTTGAAGTAGGTTGGAGTAACAGAATGATGAAAATACATGCTCTAAAGCAAAAACACCATATAGATGCAATAAATAAAGAAATTGTTGCAAAATTTCAAAAAGCATTAACAAAAGAAAAAGCCAAGCTTCAAAAAGAGAAAAAGGAAAAAAGAAGAGCCCAAGCACAGCAATCAATGCATCAAATGATGAAGAAAGAAATTATGATGAAACAAATTGTAGATAGAAGTAGACAAAAAATGTAGAAAGTGCTAGAAGAGCTGAAGGAAGAATCAAAACTGAAAAACAGCTAGAAGAACATTGAGGAAATAGCTATTTTGAGGTTCAAGAACAAGACAGAAAAGGTTACAAGTGAAAGAATATGTAAAAAAAGTAATAAAAGACTATTTGATCAAGAAACTGAAGAGGCATGAAAAAAAAGGAAAAAGAAAATCGTTAATGCAGATTGGTGGATGCAAAAGAAAAAGTACATAGATAAGTTGCAAACAGAAAAAGAGAAAGTAGAAAGAAGTAATCTAAAGATTCTGATAAAGAAACTTCAAGAGTTTGGCCTATCGCAAGTAAAAGCAAAACCTAGAGAACAAGAGGAAGAAGAACAATCAACAGAAAACAAAAAAGTAATAAGAAAAGGATCATTATGGAAGAATGCTTTCTGCTGGAGACAGAAGAAAATAGATGTCAATCAAAAAACCAAAGATTAAGAGAAGTTAAAAAAAAAAGGAAGATTAGGAAGAGCAAAGAAGAAAAGAAAAAGACAAAGCAAAGAAGTATTTGAATGGAAATATCGAAAAAAGAAAAAGAAAAGATTACAACTAGGAGGATGTTGCAAAAGTAAATTAGATAGAGTATATAGTCTACTCAATAGAAAGGTCACTAAGAGCATAGTGGTTAAAGGTTTAGCCCTGACTGCAAGTGTTGGTCACAACTATAGCATAGCTCAGATGATCAATTATAGTTCTCTTTATAAAATTTTTTTTAATTCAAGGCCATTGTATGGCCTTACTGGCAGATCTGGTATCGCCTCTGGCTGTTAATCTTTGTCCAGCCAGTGCGGCAGACCACTCTTGGGCACTCTTAGAAGCAGCCAAGGGGTGTTGGACCAAAATTTAAGCCAACTTCATGCAAAGTTGTGCATGCAAGAATCTTAATAAAGGTGATCGGCAAGGCTGCCAAAGAATAAAAAAAATAAAATAAAAAATAACAGATAGAATAATAGAGCAAATATTTTAGTAAAAGAAGAAGCAAATTTGTAAGATTCAGATAAAATTATAGTGAAGCCAGTTTCAAGATCCAATGTATTATTTTTTTAAAAAAATATAATAGTAGAAAGCCTAATACAAGACTTTTTTAAAGAAATTCTTAATATAAAAACAATACAGATTGAAGTTTTTTATTAATAATCAAAAAGTTAGAACCAAAACAAGAAAAAAAAAGCACTGCTAAGTGCTATTATAAAAAAAAATCAAGAACCAAAATGAAGCTAGATGCATTTCAACTAAAAAAAGTAAAAAACTTCTTAAATGTATACAAAAAAAAATGCCAACATTTAAAGAAACATTTAGATTTATATATAAAGTTAGACTGCATTGTATACAAAAAAATAAAATAAGAAGATCAAGATCACTTAGCAGTCTGTTCATTTTACAAGAACTTTTGACTAAAAACAAAAATGCTAACAATAAAAGTAGCATAGAGTAAGCTATTAGAAGACAAAAAAAAACATTATACAAATAAAACTAAAAGAAGCAATTGAGGCCAAATAAGAGAAAAAAAAACAGAAGTGCAAAAGAAGTTTATCAAAGAGTTTTATAAAAAAAGTAGTTAAAAGAGTACAAGATATACTAGTTTCATTAAAAAAATAAGAAATTTTCTAATAAATGACATAGATATTATATAGAACCTGTTTTATAAAACAATCTGAAAGAAAAGATGCAGCAAAGTATACGAATAGGAAAAAAGTCAAAACATCAGTACAAGAAAAAAAAAAATAAGAACTAAGTATCAAAACAACAAACTAGAGCAGTAAATAAAATAATATTAAGATCAAGAAATAGAAAATTAGAAAAAGAAAAAAGTATAAAAAAAAAATAAAAAAAATAAAAAAAAAGAAAAAGAAAAAAAAGAAATAGAAAGTTTATAAAAGAATACAATAAGAAGATTAATTAATATTAATAAGAGGTCTTACTGAAACAGCCTCAAAGGCTAGTTTGAATAGCTTTTTAGCAATAAGTAGCAATTTATGCTAGTGCAGCAGGCTACCTCTAAGCATTAATACAGTAGCTAAAAATGTCAAATCTAAAAATTAAGCTAATATTTATATAATTAAACATACAATTCTTTTAATAAAAGATATTGGCAAGGCTGTTTAAGAGTTAAAAAAAAAATAAAGGTTAATGTCAACAGAGCTATTAGTATATCAATAGTAAAAATAGCAGATTTTAGACTTAATCAATATTACATTATATTTTTATTGTACTTATTTTAATAGTTTATTTTATAATAGAATTACATCTTTTAATTTTAGATTTAAGTGTTTTTAAATACTGTAATTATTACATCAAAGTTTATTACTAGTTTTTTAGATCAAAATACTATAAAGAAATGTATAATTAAGAATGCAATTGATTTAAATAAATTAATTTGGCCTATAAATTTATAACTAAAGCTTAAACTATAAATTTAAATAGTTATAATTTAAAGAATTTTATTATTTTTCACTTATGCATTTTGCCACTAGTTCACAATTTTAATTATGTATGTAACTATTTTATTGGGATGTGCAATTATTTGGATAACATGATCATATGCATAAAGTAGTTGTTTATACTGTGTCGTAATAGCCAATTTTTGTAATTCCTTTTTTAGTATAGAAAATATATCCACCTTCATGTCTCTTGTATAATGTATATTCATCAAGTTTCTTATAAATGATAATCTTTTAGTTTATGTTAATTAGCAAGTGAAAAATACTAAACAAAGTGTCATAATTGTTTCTTTAAATAAAGCATCATCAAAACTAATTAAAGTGAAAGAGCCAAAGGACCATGATCAGGTGATCTGAGTTAAAAGTCTAACAAGACATTATATTTAGATCCAAACCCTCTATAAATAAAATTAGTAAAAACAACTTTCAAACTCTTACTAACTTTTGTTGTCTTTAGTTTTAGTAACAGCACAAAAGTAAGTTTTGGATTTTTTTTTTTTTAGCAATACATATGAATGTTACAGGTTTTCCTTGACAGCACACATACAAATGATCAATGTACTAATTATCCATATTAATAGTATTAACTAAGAGCAAGAAAGTCTGTAGTTTTGGCACTTTATTTAACTATGTTGTTTTTATGCTATTGTTTTTTAAATACAGTAGAATAAGCGAAAGCTCTAAACATAAATTTTCTAATAAAGCTATTTATATAGAGCCAGTGCTTTTTTAAACATTGAATAAAAATCAAAACAGATACAAATTTTCTGATGAGTTCAGTTATTCAAAATTAGTAGCTAAAACAGGTAAGGTTGTTTAATATTTAACTTTGTGTTTTATTTAACCATTTTGTGTTCTATTGTGATTTTGTTTTTTGCTTGTGAAGATGTGTCTTTGTATTTAGGAAAGAGATTTTCTACATAGGATATATGCGAAAAGTATCTTAATGAATGGGCTGAAGAACAAGGTTTTCATATTGTAAAAGACTAAGTTCACTATGATGAGAATATTGTTCATTAACAAACTTTTCTATATGAACATAGTTGTTTATATGATTTAATTTCTAATAAAAACACAAAAACAAAAAAGATGCAATGCTTTTTTTTGATTAATGCCTCCTGTTCAAAGATAAATAATTCAGAAGGTTCTGTAATTGTTAACAAGATCATATTTGATCATAATCATCCAGTAAATCATGAATTAGTTGAGTTTGAAAATGCAAAAAAATTTACTAATTCAATGCTTGAGAATGTAAAGTTTATAACTGTGTTTTGTAAGTTTGGTGCAATGGTACAAAGAAAATTTCTTGAAGGAAAATATTCTACATACCCAGTTCATTCAAAAGACTTATATCATGCGATTTAAAAATTTTAGCCTACTGCTAAATCTTTATTCAATGATGCTGCACAAATATCAAACTGGCTTGACCAACAAAAAGAAAATAACTCACATTGGATTGTCTCTTGAGGATGAGATAATGATAATATCTTAACCCATTTGTTTTAGATGAAGCCAGAGAAAGTTGAAAATTGGATTCACTATTCAGATTGTGTTCTCAATAATGTTACACATAAAACCAATCATTATAGCATGGCATTATCTTTAATTGTTGGATTTAACAATAATCATCAGAATATTTTGTTAGCACAAGCACTTCTTGCAGATGAAAGTCTTGAATCACATACTTGGATGTTTTAACAGGTAGTTAAAGCTATTAATATTCAACCATTAGTTATACTTATTGACACTGATCCTGCTATTAATACTGCCATTTATCAAGTACTTACAACAACATATTCGATCCATTGTGCATATCATATTACTCAAAATTTGCACAAAAATTTAAGAAAACAACTTAGTGAAACTTATTAAAAGTTTCTTAAAGATTTTTACCTTTGCTATAATAGTTTAAATAAGGTACAATTTCAGCAATGTTTTGAGGAGCTTATTTGTAATTATCCAAGAGCTCAAAGTTATTTAGAATTTTTATATAAGTCAAAAAGTTGTTGGGCTCACTGTTTCACTAATTTTAAATTTACCAGTGGCATAATTGCTATGTCCTGCATTGAATCTGTTAATGCATGCCTGAAGCATTTAATTTATAACTCAAATACTTCTTTATGTAATCTTGCATTCAAAATTTATAAATTGCTTGATATCCAAGATAAAAAGAATGAGTATAGGTTCTGAAAGCTAGCAATTCCAAATATAAAAAAATCAAAAAAAGGTTAACTTCTTATTTACAAAAGTAGATCAATATATTCAACAGTTTCTTATTTTCACAATATTAAAAATACAATAGGATGAGATTAATCAATTAGTGTATTATGTTGCTAATAAAGTTATCAGTGTGAATATAAAAAGTTTGGATGATGAGAATTTGCAGTTTAGTTTACAAAAACATAGTGCTAATGATTTGCAGACTACACTTAAACAAATGATTGAGCTTGTTAAATCAGATAATATTAAGAAAATATGGGCTATTAATATTGGCAATTTATTAAAAACAAAGCACTATATTATATTATTACACAATAGGTCTCATTTATGTTTCTGTCTGTTTATTATCCATTATAGTATTGTATGTAGACATTACTTTCAAGTAATGTTAGTTACAAGTAATGCAAAGTTTCATATTTGGCTACTACCTTCACAATGGTTTTGTACAAATGAAATTAGAATGAAAGAGCCATTTTTGGCTACAGATAAGTTTAGTGAAAAGGTTCAAAATTAGTCAAGTTGTTCTTTTATTCAATACTTGTCTGTTTTTAGTAAGAACAAGTTTGAAAACAATCAAACAATTCTAGAACAGAAAGTCACTTATGGAAAGCTTCATGGGATTTACAAAAAAGCTCTTTGTAAGGCATTGCAAAAGCATACAAAATCTCAACAGTTAATTAGCTTACTTCAAGATTTTGTTAATAAGAGTGATGAATCAAATTCAAATAGTCAACAAGATAATGATAGTGTTAATGATGATTATAGTATTAATAATGTAGATGATAAAAAAGAAAATATTATTCCTCTTAAAAATCCAAAAATGCATCATAACAAAGGCAGACCAACAGGTACAAAACAGTTTAAATCAGCAAATAAAACACAAAAAGTTAAAATGAACCAATGGTGATGTAAGAAATGTGGAATGCTTGGCCATTATTAGAAAGCTTGCAAGGTATGTTGCTTAAATAAATGTTAATAATCTTAATACTACAAAATACTAATAATTATGTAGTTTTAACTATTATAGCATAACTAATACAATTGCAATTATCATATATACTAGCATTAGTAAAGATTTTTTTTCTATCAATTTGCTTGTTTCATGTAATTAGCATAGATATGATTGCATGTTTTATTTGAGATTTTAATATGATGCCATATTGGTGGATTTACGAAATTGGTCCTAAATTGATCCTAAATTGTATCTTCAAAGTTATTTTCAAAATGAATACCAAATTTTGTAACAAACAATATATGATTGATATATGTAGATACATATAAAATAATTTAAGAAGT